GCGCCCGGCTGATATCTGCCGGGAGGGTTCGCGTGCGAGGAAGAAAGGGGGTGACGGCTAGGGTTAGGCTTGGACCACGAACGAGAGCAAAGAAGGTTTTGTACGACTGCGACCCGACCCCAAACGGAACGGGGAGGACGGACAAGCACCTGCCAAAAATATTCCTGTTCTCACCCAACTGGGCTTCCTCAAATTGAAACCCAGTAAGTATCGTATGGTCGGCCCTTAAGCCCAGCCCACTAAGGACTGCAAGACCTTAAGACCCCAGCAGCGAAATATCGTCAAGCCTCTTCCCAAACCCTCCCCGACCGCCGCCCCCCGTTCGCCTCCGCCGCCGCCTAGCCACCACGCGCCAGGAGAGCCCCGCGCCGCCGGCCATGGCGGAGGAGGAGGGGACGCAGCAGCTGCCGTTCGTGCGGGAGACGGTCCTCAAGAAGAGGAAGGACAACGAGGAGTGGGCCACCAAGAACCGGGAGCGCAAGGCGGCCAAGAGGCAGCGCCGCCGCCACGACGCCAAGGGCGCCATCAAGCGCCCCGAGGACTTCGTCAAGGAGTTCCGCAACAAGGAGCTCGACTTCCTGCGGATGCGCATGCGCCTCAAGGTCCGGAAGCTGCGCCCCGCCGAGGCCATCGACGCCAAGCTGCTCTTCGCCATCCGCATCCCAGGGTCAGTGCCTACCTACCTGAAGCATCCACCTCTCTGGCTTGCTGATGGTACCTCGCGATTATTAACATCGGATTTTTTTGCGTGTGATTGCAGCACTGCGGACTTGCACCCGCAAATCAGGAAGATCTTGGCCAGGCTGCGGCTGACCCAGGTCCTCACCGGCGTGTTCCTCAAGGCCACCGAGGCAAACCTCAAGAGGCTTGCTGCTGTTGGACCGTTCGTCACCTATGGGTAATAACTGAATGGAAATATTTTTCTCCATTGTGTGGCTTGTTTTGCCAGTTCTGTACTAGTAGTTTACAGTGATTGAATGTTGTTAATTGGTGTCACGGTAGGTTCCCCAATTTGAAGAATGTGAAGGAGCTTATTTACAAGAAGGGTCGCGGATATTTCGACAAGGAGCCTTTCCCCCTGACCAGCAATGATCTAATCGAAAAGGTATAATTTCTATGACATAGTCTGAAGATTGAGGTTCAGGCATTCGATTCAAGTAAAGCTTTGACATGCCTGCCGGCAACCTAATAATAAGCATAGGAAGTACTCAGCAAGGCATACCAGTGATCTGTGCCTGTTAATTTTATCTAGCCAGTTCCACAATTGCTAACAAATTTGAATACCTTCAGGGTTCAATTCTGGACCAATAACAATGTATTCCAGACTTGGATGCGCCAAATTTGACACACTAAAACACTTCAGTTAGGTTAATTGTATCTTCATCACTGCTACGCGCATTTCTGCTGCAAAACTATTCTCTGGATTATCTCTCATGATGATTTTGTAATGTACACTTTGTAATCATTGTATGTGGTTCTCGAAAAACAGGCTCTTGGAGAACACGGCGTCATATGTTTGGAAGACGTCGTGCACGAAATCTCCACGGTCGGGCCGCACTTCAGAGAAACGGCGAGCTTTCTCATGCCCTTCAAGCTCAAGTGTCCGGAGAGGAGGCTGCAGATGAAGAAGAAACCCTTCAAGGATGGCGGCGACTCGGGCAACCGTGGGGACAAGATCAACGAGCTACTAGAGAAGCTGAACTGAGGCAGTCTACAACTTGTGCCCTCAAACAAGCAATGGACCCGTTATTACCTTGTCGGTTTTGTAATAGCATAGCTGAATGTACCTTTGTTTTGGAAACCCTGCCCGAGTGTTTGGGATCAAATCACGAAATAGCAGAAACTGTTCTTCACCCCGTGTCGTGTGCGTGCTCTGATCTTCGTGATCGATCTGACGTGCTTTGCTGAAACTAGCTGTTTACATTGTTTACTTGCACGGACAGACTAGCCTGAGTAGTTCATACTACGTGAAGTTGGATTATATTGCAACAAAACCTGAGCGATTTTGCCAGATTTGAGAATACTATTCTGTCTGACGGGAATTATTCATTGCGCAGTACTGACTGCATCGGTGTCATAGAAAGAAGAATGTTGCAAACAGCGAGCCTGCATCCGTGTCCACTGTTACGATGGCCGTGGCGGCCGGCGAGACGCCGCAGTCACGCGGCGTATATGCCGCTCGTTGGCTGCTACTCGGCCCAGCCACTGCCTGGTTGCTTGGCGTCCTCGTTGCCTTACCCTTCCGAACAAGCTCCTCCATCGCCTCTGCCTGCTCGTGTCCACTCTCCCACAGCCCATCACCCTCCAGGCCTCCACCTACCGCAGCATTAAGTGCTCTCGTCGCGCGGCGGCGGCGACGAGGATGTCATCGGCGCCGACGCCGGTGTTCGAGAGGCTGGCCGGGATCCGACCCCTCGCCGAGTCCGGCCGCTTCAAGGCAAGCTCCCCGACCACGCGCCCCCACCCTCCTCACACGGAATCGCCTCTCGTTTTGCTCATCCCCTGAATTGGTATTGCGCTGCTAATTCAGATAACGAAATTACGCATAGGGTTCATGCTGTCTGCGGAACTTCAGCTAGAAATTGGGGAATAGCTGGTTCCTCTGCCAATGACATCTGGTCGTTTCTATCGCTAGGAGTGCCAATACCATTTGCCTCTGCTGCTATGATTTGTTCACAGCCGAGTTTGTCTGGCAGGCATGGTTCCTGGACCAGTTCGGCGTTCTTCATGACGGGAAGAAACCCTACCCCGGCGCCATTTTGGCATGTATGTTGGTCCACACATCGTAATTTATCTTCAGTTTACTGCTGCATCTTTGTGCTGCAATGTGATATGATAGCCAAGTGAGGCATGGATGTTTCAGTGGAGAAGCTCGCTGGGAATGGCGCCAAGATGGTGATAATCAGCAATTCCTCGAGGCGGTCGTCTGTAACCATGGAGAAGCTGCAGAGCCTTGGGTTTGACACGTCTTGTTTCCTCGGGGCGATCACGAGCGGGGAACTCGCCCATCAGTACCTTGACAAGTAAGCCTTTTATGCTGATATTTCTTCTGTGGTTTTTTTTTTGAATGTTCACCGGTAAGGGTTTTATGGGGTTACACACGATCTAGACACTATCTAGACTGAAAGGGCCAGAAACTTAAGATAAACTTCTGTGGTTATTTGGTGTAGCTCAGAAACTTAAGATAAACTTCTGATTTGGTTTCGTAAACGCAGGAGGGATGACCCATGGTTTGCAGCTCTGGGAAGGAAATGTATCCATCTGACATGGGGCAATCGAGGTGCAATTTCTCTGGAGGTTTGTTCTTCTGTTGTTTTTCTCTGGCAGTTGTTTCTTCTAAGGAATATTAGCATTGAATTTGGCGTGGCATACTCATATATTCCTGCCAAATGGCTGAGGTCATCTAACATGTATGAAGAAGTATTAATAATGACAAGAATGTGATATCAAAAAGCATTCTTACTTATGAGGCACTTTTACAAGATTCCATGTCAAATGATTTCTTGTTTTCTCCTATTAGGGACTTGGTTTGCAAGTTGTGAACAATGTTGACGATGCAGAGTTTATACTAGCCCATGGTACTGAAGCCCTTGGTTTACCTTCTGGTGATCCACTTTCGAGAAGTCTTGAGGAGCTTGAGCAGATTCTAGTGCTTGGTATACAAAAGCGACTTCCAATGGTGGTAGCTAATCCAGATTATGTCACTGTTGAAGCTCGAAACCTGCGTGTCATGCCTGGTGGGTTAATGATTTTCATATCTGATGCCATGTTGATTGTTTAACCATTACCAGGTAGCAGAGTTGTTTTAACTCATGAATGTATCTGCTTGCCTATCCTACACTATAAATTTGGACATTCTTTATTTCTGATTCATGAGATATTTTTTCTTCTTTTCTTCTTCAAAAAGAGATATGTTAGAAGTATGGCCATCTTTTACAGTGCCAACTGATGGTGGTAATATAATGTTTCTCTTTTAGGCACTCTGGCAGCAAAATACGAGAGTCTTGGTGGTGAAGTAAAATGGATGGGGAAGCCTGATAAGGTAATGCATGACATGTCTACTCTTTGTAGACTAAACGACTGATTCAACAACTTAAACATAATACATAATTGAAATGGCATTCACGCTATGATGGCCCACAAGATTGTGAACTTGTGATTGCAACTGCACTTTATTACTCCTACTTGATTTGACAGACTTCTCTAGGATCACCCTTTCTGTATTTAAGTTTTTGCGTGGGAAACTGTCCCTCGGCTCTCGCCAGGTACTGACTTTGTTGCTGCTTTCTCAGGTTATCTATACATCAGCAATGTCCCTAGCAGGTGTTGAAGCACACGAATGTATCACCGTAGGTGATTCGCTGCACCACGACATCAAAGGCGCAAATGGAGCCGGAATGGCATCTGCATTCATCACTGGAGGGATCCATGCGGATGAACTTGGACTCGGTGAATTTGGAGAAACTGCTGGAGATGATGCCGTCAGTGCGTTGTGTTGCAAGCATAGCTCATACCCATCTTACATTTTGCCTTCATTTTCATGGTAGAAAACACGGTTTAGATTCAGGCACACCGTTTAAACGGGATTGCGGCCTTGGATAACGATGCTCTTTTCAGTTGTCAAAGTGAGCATCAAGATCGTGGAGGTGGTTTCAGTGCCGCACTAAATTATTAGCGTTATGCATTTTCCGGAAATAAAATATCTGTTGATTTGATTGATAGGAACTGCATGCAATCGTGTGTGGAGGAAACATCCTCTGTGAAATATTTATATGCATTGTTAAATTATGCTCCAGAACCCAGGCGGTGTACAACATACTATGCTGGGAAGCTGGCTTGATGCTTTGATCTGGAGGTTAAAGTCTTCTGATTCTGGCAGAGGCAATGCCACTTGTTGGTTGGCTACGTCGTAATGATCCAATCGTTTGAGTCTTCAGGTGGGCGCTAGGATCGTGGGCATCCTTGCACAAACCGGAGTTGCAACTTGCTAGGACTCTGTAGTCTCGAGGAGCAAACGACTGGAGACGGTGGGGATGGCATTCTTTAGCACTGAAACATGACAAAGACAAACGGCGATGGCATCATTCACATGTTTTGCAGATAAATAGTTCAGTTGCTCTTCAAGAGAATGATCTTCAAATTATGGAGTAATGGATTTTTTTTAGGGAACCATGCTCAACTTTATTCAACCTGTTCAAAGGAACCTACAAATAAATGTTTTTTTTACCATTAGCAACTCGAAGAAAATAGTCAGTGATTATCCCCTTGTAATAACCGTCTCTCATTAGCACTCAGGGACGGAGCTCCTTCTGGCTTTTCAGCTAATAGTATTAACAAAAACTGCGTATGACCCCAGCTCAAAAATTCCATTGACCCCAGCCCAGCAGCAGACCAGCTAATCCCTAAAGCCTTAGCCCATGAAATCCATTAAGTTCTAAAAGAAATCAACAGCCTGCAAACAACGATACAAGGCCAGGCCCAATGCGTACGCACTATGTATCAATTAATCGATGTACGCTACCCGGCTGCTGTACGTGTACGCGAACAGACAGACGCCCTCGTCTCTTCGCCTCCTCATCTCGAATCCTAATTCCGCAGCCGCCGCAGCGAATCGGCGACGAACGACGGCGAACTCGACACCGTTTCATCGGGTGAATGTTGACATCGGCTGACCGTCCGCCAATGCATAATCTTTAATTTGCAAGTGTTGGCTCTTCCAATCCCAGGTAATTTGCACCTTCTCTCTCGCCTCTCGATCTCTAGACTGTCTACAGACTACGATTCTACAGGTGCATTGATTTCATCATGGCTATTGGCTAAGTAATTTTTTTAGTTTATTTTCTTTGATTTGCCCAGGACCAGGAAGATATGGATAAATTTTTGTTGAAAGGGAAACGACCAGCACTAGATAGTAATGTGGCAGGGCCTTCAAGGCCAGTTAGACCAGCACTTGATTTGCTATGTGGAGAAAGACATATTTTCTACAATAACGAATGACGATGTGATTGATCTATTTAAGAAGATGAAAGATCGAGAAGGGAAGTTATGAAATGTGAGTCTCGTATCACTTTATTTTTTTCTTAACGATACTTATTTTTTGCACTATTTCTTTCTTATTATTGTTGTGAATATAATATGTTCTTTTGTTCATCCTTTACAGAAAGTTACAAATGAAACGTTCCAAAGTCATCCTTTTGCCTATTATTTCCGGAATACGTAAAGAAGTGTTATTTTATGACTTTGCTCAGCCAATACTCGCTACTCGGTATGATTTTTTTAGATGTAATAATAATATCACCTGCATATTGTTGCTTTTTATATCGCTCTCGGCCATTATCTATGTTGTTGCACCACTATAATTTCTGCTAGCGGCTTAGCCTGGGAAGCGGTTGACACCAGTGCCCACTTTTTCTAGCTTCGTCCCTGTTAGCACTCTGAATCTAATGTAGCTCCTCCTCAACATATAGCTCATGGAGTTCAATTAGAATTTCCACTTTACAATTATAAGCCTCCACATCTAAAGGAGTAAGCTCTTCTAAACTTTCTAGGACCAGCAGCTCCTACTCAAGTTCTTTTCTTCTTTTTTTATTAACAAGGGGAAGGAACACTGTTTTTAACACCAAGCCAAATCAAACCAAAGCCTCTGGTCTTGTTATCCCCTGAAAGCTGCACCCCATAGTTCAAAACCAAAGGATTGTGAGCAGA